CAACTCTACCAACCACAACCCAACTCTACCAACCATAACCCAACTCCACCAAGCCCAGTGCTTAAACCATGTCCCTCAGCACCACATCCCCATGGCTTTGAAACCCCTGCAGGGATGGAGACTCACCCACCTCCCTGGGCAGCCTGGGCCAGGGATTGCTGACCCTTTCAGTGAACACATTCTTTTCTAATCTCTCATCTAAACCTCCCCTGGTGCCACTGGAGCCTGTTCCCTGAGAGCAGCAGAGCAGTTTCCACCCCATGACCTCCCATAACTGCAGCATCTCTGCAAGCCTCTCAGCACATGCAACCCAGCAGAAGACCATTACACCCCCAGAAGTGTGACTGGTACAGCAGGTTGTGTTTTCCCCAGAAGTGTGACTGGTACATCAGGTTGTGTTTTCCCCAGGGAGGGAAAACCCAAACCTCCTGAAGAACCACTTGTTTCTGCAGTAATTCAGGCAGGGGCAGGAGAAATGAAGGATTATTCTGCACCAGACAGTGCATGGACTTGTTTAGACAAGAAAGCTTTGACTCTGGCCCAAGACCAGCTACCCCTGCAAGCCAATCACACAGGTTCAAGTGTAGCCCAGACATGGAGACAAACACAGTTTCACCCACTAAGCGCGTCCCAGCAGCTTCAGTAACCACAACATGATGCCACAATTTGCTTTCTGTTGCTCCTCACAACACACCAGCTGCCAAAAAGCCCCGACCTGCAGCCAGAGGAACCCTGGGGAAGCTCATGAGGTGTTTTGCATCCTGGCACCAGCACTGAAGAGCTCAGGAGAAGCAAAAACCCTGGTAGGAAACACGGAGCAAAGTCCTGTCCCACCAGTGAGCACCAGTAAGAGCCCCCCCCCCCGAGCAGACAGGGGTCACTTGGGCTTCCAACAACAAGTTTTGGCTACTAAAGGTTTTGCACTGGTAGTTATGTCCAAGAACTTTACAGACCCAGGAGGTTTAGGGGCTGGGAAATGTCTCAAATCCTTTTGGCCAGCAAGGAGGTGGCAGGGAGAAGCAGCAGTGGGTGAAGGTGGGTGCTGGGGCAGCAGCTGATCCCATGGAGAGTGAAAGGGGCTCTGGGAGGAGAGGGAAGGGGTTTTGGAAGGAGAATTGGGACAACCCACCCTCCCACCTCAGGATTTCAAACACCTGCTTCTAAGGAAAGGCTCCTGATTCATATTTCCTACCAACTGGGATTTCACCATTGGGCAGGGGTGGTTCCTCCTGCTGGGAAACAAGGGCCACCCCTGCTGCATCTCCCAGCAGCTGCCACGGAGGTGCAGCAGCAGGAGCAGGACCATTTCCAAAGAGACCCACCTCCAGGTGAGCCAGAAGGGTGGTTGTGAGGAGCACAGGGCTTGAGCAGTGGGATGTGTTCCCATGCAGAGAAATCAGACTGGTTTGAGTTGGAAGGGACCTTCAAGATCATCCAGTTCCAACCCCCTGCATGGGCAGGGACACCTCCCAGCAGCCCAGGCTGCTCCAAGCCCCATCCAACCTGCCCTTCAACACCCCCAGGGATGGGGCAGCCACAGCTTCTCTGGGCAACCTGGGCCAGGCTCTCCCCACCCTCACAGCCCAGAATTTCTCCCTCCCATCTCAGCTCCAGCTCCCTCTGCCAGCTGGAAACCCTTCCCCCTGCTCCCATCCCTCCCTGCCCTTGTCCCAAGCCCCTCCCCAGCTTTCCTGGAGCCCCTTCAGGCACTGGAAGCTGCTCTCAGCTCTCCCTGGAGCCTTCTCTTCTCCAGGCTGAACACCCCAACTCGCCCAGTCTGGCTCCAGAGCTGCTCCAGCCCTCCCAGCATCTCCGGGGCCTCCTCTGGCCTCTCTCCAACAGCTCTGTGTCCTCCCTGTGCTGGGGACCCCAGAGCTGGGCACACAACCAACACCCAGGTGCTATTCCCAGTGTCCCACCAAGGACACAACCACAGCCACTGGGGCTCCTTGCACCACCCTGGGTTTCACGGAGCATCTGCTTTGCTTCCCAAAGCCTCTGACCTGGGAGAGGGGAGCAAAGCTCAGCTCCCCCGTGCCTTTTGGGGTGTCACCTGCAGCACCTCTCCTACCTCCTTTGGCATTTCCCTTGGGAAGAAGAAGTAGGGCAGAGCAGCCAGGGCCACCAGGGTGGCTGCCACCAGGAAGCCCAACCACCAGGCGCCCACCCAGCGCGGGTCCCTCGGGCTCAGCTGGACCTTGTCTGCAACACACAGGGAGAAATGGGGGTTAAAGCAGAGCTGGGTGGAGGGATCCCAGTGCCCCAAAGGGATGGGGACAGGTGGCTCAGTCATCAGGGAGCTCCAGGGTGGTGGCTCCCAAACCTGGCGAGCATCAGTTTGAGGGGCTTAGCAGCGTTTGCACCCGACTGATCTGATGGTGCTTAAATGTCATTCCCTGTTACCAGCTGGGTGTGGGGGAAAACCTTTTGGATGGAGGTGACTGGGCCAGGGATGTCCTGGAGCTGGAAAGGCAAAGGAGAGCACCCCCAGCACAGCCTTCTCAAAGGAGGGGTGTTCATGGGGTGACAAAGCTTGGAAGGACTCGCTCAGAGGGATTATCCAGGAGGTCTGGCAAGACAGGAGGAAAAATCCTGCCTTAAGGTGAAAATGGGGTGAACTCCAGTTAACTTCTGGCAGCCCTGGTCGAGTTCTTCACAGTCAGGACCCCCTGTCCACAGCAGGACTTGGGCCCTGGAGCTCTTCCCACCAGTCTGGTGCAGTGTCTGGTTTCCAGCTCGACCAACAGATGATCCTTAAAGATGCTTTAAAGGGATCCTGTCCCTTCCTCCTGCTGTGCCCCCAACCTGCCCAGGCCACCCTGCCACAGGGACCATTTTCTGTGGGGAGGGCACTTGGCATAAACAAAACAAGGTCTGCAGGAACCAGAGTCCAAATTCACATCAGGGTGAGGCTGAACCAAGAAATATTTCTAGGGAAGAAGGGGATCCCTGTGGTTGGACACCCCCAGGAAGGGAGTCCTGCCAGAAACCCCTTCCTTAGCTCTGAGGTTTGACATGAGGGAGCTCTTCTCCCTGGGGGGTGCAATGGAAACTCAAATCCCTTCCCTTCTGATCTTGGGAAGCAACAAGGGCTGGGTCAAAGGACCCTGTGACCATCTCCTCCCTGCCAGATGCATTTAGCAAGTGGGAATTTTAAATCCTTTCCTGAATTAACACCAGAAAGGTTGGTTGTTGGGTTTTCCTCTAGGAAACCACGAGGTTAGATGAGACTGAGCATCAAGCAGCCCCAGGTCACTGGCTCTTCCCAGTAGGCTGAAGGCATCTGAAGGCTGGAGACAGCTCTGGAACTGGGTGTTCTCCAGTTCTAGCTGCTCTGGCACATTTCTCATCCACCATCTGCTTGCAGAAGATGGACACCTTGAGCACCAGGGTGTGCAGCCCCTGGTTCCATGTCCTCAGCCTTCAGATAAACCAAGAAGACCTGCAGGTGCCTCTCTGAGCTTCACCCACTGAGGAGGATGGGCTGGAGCAACAAGCCTGGAGGTTTCTTGAGAGGAGGAGGCAACACCAAAACCAGAGTAACCAGCACAAAGTGAGAGTGACAAAATCCAGGTGAAAACAACAAGCACCTGGTGAATTCCATGGGCAGGAATGAGCTGGAGGCACCGAGGAGGAGCCAAAGCTCATGCATCTTTAGTTTCAACACCTGCTCCTCACCCAGTCCCAGCCCTGGGGCTCCCTGGTCACCACCCAAATGATCCTGTTCATCACCTTTTTCCCCCATGTGAGGACATGCTGGGCTGTAAAATGGTGTCTCTGCCCTGTTAATGACCAGGAAAGAGCCTCCAGCTCTCCAGGCTGGGCTTCAAGAGCAGCTAAAAGGGAAATGAGGACAAATGCTCTGATAGCCCAGGAAGGGCTTTTAAAGGGAACCCCATTTCATCTTCCCCTGCTGCCCCACCCAGCATTGCTTGTCTACTTAGAACCATGGGATTGCTTTGGTTAGAGGGATAGGATGGGAGGAATGTGGAAACAAGGTGGTGCTGGGCACTGGGGAGGGGGCACCTGGAGTCCTGGGGGCAGGGCTGGGCCCCTCAGGACAAGAAGGACCTGGAGGGGCTGGAGCGTGTCCAGGGAAGGGCCCCGGAGCTGGGGAAGGGGCTGGAGCAGGAGGAGAAGGGGCTGGAGAACTTGTGAGGAGCAGCTGAGGGAGCTGGGGGTGTCCAGCCTGGAGCAAAGGAGGCTGAGGGGAGACCTGCTGGCTCTGCAGCTGCTGAGAGGAGGTTGGAGCCAGGGGGGTCGGGCTCTGCTCCCCAGGAACAAGCGACAGGACAAGAGGGAACGGCCTCAAGTTGTGCCAGGGGAGGTTGAGGTTGGATCTGGGGAACAATTGTGGGGTCTCCAAGGGCACCTTCACTCACCTCTGGAGACTTTGTCCATGTCAACATAAAACCTCAGCATGGCAGAGCCCAGCAGGAAGGCCACCCCTGGCCCGATGACAGTCACGGAGAACAGGATCCCTGCAGAAGGGGGGAGAGCAGAGAGGGGCTCAGCCCTGCCTGAAAGGACCTTGGGGGGCAGGAGGTGCCTCGAGCCAGGATGGCCCTGGCCCAGGGTCCACCCCATCTGCCTCCAGCTGGTTTATCTCACACCATTCCCAGGACAACAGCCTCGTGCTTCCCAGGATCCCTCCACAGAAAAGGCTTCACAAAACTCAGACCCCTTCCTGCTGCTTTGCTTCACCATCCCAAAAACAGACCCAGGAACAAGAGGTGCCCCTTTGGCACAAGAAACACAAGGAATGCCAGGTTTCTTGACAAGGTGAAGGAGGTAAAAGCCACCAGCAAACTCTGTGAATTACTGGTTAAAAAAAATAATTCAACCTATGGAAGATTCAACCTCAGAGATGACCCTTCCCAACATGGCTCAGAGGTTGGGAGCAGCTACCAAAGCAAAATCTCCTGTGGTTATTTTCAGTCCCTGGACAGAAATGAGCTGCTTTTCAGTTCAGTTCAAAAGGCCTTCACAGGTCACAGCTGGAAAAGGGCCAGAAGGACCTGCAAGGACCACCCTGTCCATCCCACCACCCTGGGACTTCCCTCCCAGCTGGATGCACAAGCTCTTGCCCAGCATCCCCTCCAGGATACCTGCCCACTTCCCAGAGGGTTGATCCTGCTTTTTAAAGCTTCCTACAACTTTCCCTGGACCTAAATAAAGTCTTCAGTGCTGCATCCTGAGCCCACAGCTGCCTCCCATGAGCAGAGAGCCCAGATGACTCCTGTGCTCCTTGTTGGACTCTTTTAGGAGGACACAGTTATCATGTCCCAGGCCCCAAATCCCAGAACCTCCCATAAAACAGGTTTCCCAACACTCCCAGTCAGTCTGCAGCCTGTCCAAGCTTGAGGAAGACAAAACTAGTTGTTCCACCTTGAGGAGAGAAGGTTTCAGGGAAGACCTTATCACCATGTTCCAGTCCTTAAAGGGTGGCTCCCAGGAAGATGGAGACTCCCTATTGACAAGGAGTCCCATGGAAAAGACAAGGGGTCATGGGCACCAGTTGCTCCTGGGGAGATTCCCATTGGACACAAGAGGGAAATGTTTCCCCATCAGGACAGTCCAACACTGGAACAGTCTCCCAAGGGAAGTGGTGGATTCCCCCACATGGGGCAGTTTGAAGCCTCAGCTTGACAGGGTGCTGAGCCACCTCATACCAGCTGGAGTAGGACCTGGAAAGGTTGGACCAGATGGTCCTTGGGGTCCCTCCCAACCTGGCATTCTAGGATTCCATGAAGATCAGGCAGAGGTTGATGTGAGCAGCTTTCCCTCTCAAGAAACCAGCTGCTAAATTGCAGAACCCCAGAATCCTGCTGGTTGGAAAAGACCTTTAAGGTCATCAAGTCCAACCACAACCCAACTCCACCGACCAGCTGAGCCACCTCATATAAACTAGAGTAGTCCCTGGAAAGGTGGGACCAGATGATCCTTGAGGTCCCTTCCACCCTGGCATCCTAGGACCCTGTGATGCTTGTTTTGCACCAGCCTCCCCAGCAGCAGGTGGAGCAGAAGGGCTGGAGCCACCTCTGCTCTCACGGATGCCAACGAGTCCTGCCTGGCCCTGCTACCAAGGATGGTTTCCCTCTCCCCCCACAGCAGCCCCAGCCTTACCCAAATAGAGGGGGGAGTTCCTCTCGCTGGCAAAGTCATCGATGTAGGAGATGCCAAAGGGCTGGATGGGGACACCCCCAATGCCCAGCAGGGCCTGGGCCAGGAACATCACCAGGAGCACCTCGTGGTTCTCCTGGGCAGCTCGGGGGGTGCAGCTGCCTTGGCTGAGGTTCCCCTGGGACCCGGGCACCTCGGGCTGGCACAGGTCTGTGGTGTTGCTGAACACGCCTGTGGGGAGAAGGGGAGCAGGTCTGGGGGCAGAACTGCATCTGGGTCTGGGGTTCCCAGCAAAAGAAGGACCTGGAGCTGTTGGAGAGAGGCCAGAGGAGGCCCCGGAGATGCTGGGAGGGCTGGAGCAGCTCTGGAGCCAGGCTGGGAGAGTTGGGGTGTTGAGCCTGGAGAAGAGAAGGCTCCAGGGAGAGCTGAGAGCAGCTTCCAGTGCCTGAAGGGGCTCCAGGAAAGCTGGGGAGGGGCTTGGGACAAGGGCAGGGAGGGATGGGAGCAGGGGGAAGGGTTTCCAGCTGGCAGAGGGAGCTGGAGCTGAGATGGGAGGGAGAAATTCTGGGCTGTGAGGGTGGGGAGAGCCTGGCCCAGGTTGCCCAGAGAAGCTGTGGCTGCCCCATCCCTGGGGGGGTTGAAGGGCAGGTTGGATGGGGCTTGGAGCAGCCTGGGCTGCTGGGAGGGGTCCCTGCCCATGCAGGGGGGTTGGCACTGGATGACATTAAGGTCCCTTCCAACCCAAACCAGCCTGGGATTCTATGCCAAGGAGCTTGGTCTGGAGAAAACTTCCCCCAGGGAGCAGGAAGCACCAGGACAAGCACTGAGCAGGTGTCTGGTGGGAAACATCAGTGGGAGAAAATGCAAAGAAAAGTGCAGATATCAGTGTCAGATGTTCACAGCAAGATGGATGCACATGCCATGAAAAGCCACCTCCACAGAAGAAGCAGAGCTGGGATCCCTTCCAGGAGCTTTGATGGATCTTGTGATAAAGGCAAGGGAGCAAAACTGCAGGTTTTGTGAATGGCTCCTCAGGAAACAAGGACTCATCTTACCCAGAAATGGATCACAGAGCTGCCCAAGGGGAAGTGCTGATTCTAGCACCTTTATCTTCCTTAAAACACTGGGGGAGGGGGTGGTGATGCTCACAGCAGGATTTCCATGGTTTTGCCCCAAATCATTTGCCACTCACTCCAAGTGCTCCACCCGGGGCCTCCTGCCCCAGAGCTCCTGAAACCTGTGGCTAATTTTTTTTCCCCAAGTCTCATTAGCACCTGAACTGTGTTTGCACCCATCAATTACTCCCTTATGAATCCTCCTCTGGGGGCTGCAGCTGCCTGAACCAGCTGCTCCCTCTGATGAGCCAGAGAAAAGCTGCTCAGTGGAGGTTTCTAAAAGATCTGCTGAGGATTCATGGCAGGATTTGGGATGGTATGAACAGAGTGGTCTCCTCTCCTTTATCCCTCTTCTCCCTCCCTTATCCCTTCACCTTCTTTAAGGAGAATATCCCAAATCCACCCTGTCCTGCTCCTCCCTCAGTGATTTACACCTGCATGTTTCTTTCACAAGAGGTTGATTCTCTAGGGGAGCCTAAAACCTCAAGGTGCTCCCTCAAAACCAGCTCAGACAGACAGGGGAAGGGAGATGAGGTGCCCCACAAGTTGGGAGGGAAACCAACACTCATTGCAGACAGCAGCCTTTCAGCCCCTAAGCTGCCCTGCTGGGTTGAGTCAGTCAAGCTCCTCCCCATCATTCTTGTTTCCTCCCCATAACCCATGTTTTCCTCTCCAAAACTCGTTTCCTCCTTATAACCCCTGTTTTCCTACCCAGAACTTGTTTCCTTCCCCACAACTCATGTTTTCCTCCCCAGAACTTGTTTTCCTCTCCAAAACTCGTTTCCTCCTTATAACCCCTGTTTTCCTACCCAGAACTTGTTTCCTTCCCCACAACTCATGTTTTCCTCCCCAGAACTTGTTTCCCTCCCCATAACTCATGTTTTCCTCCCCAGAACTCGTTTCCTTCCCCATAACCCATGTTTTCCTCCCCATAACTCACGTTTTCCTCCCCAGAATTCTTGTTTCCTTCCCCATAACCCATGTTTTCCTCCCCAGAACTCGTTTCCTTCCCCATAACTCATGTTTTCCTCCCCATAACCCATGTTTTCCTCCCCAGAACTCCTGTTTCCTTCCCTATAACTCATGTTTTCCTCCCCAGAACTCGTTTCCTTCCCCATAACCCACGTTTTCCTTCCCCAGAACTCCTGTTTCCTTCCCCAGAACTCATGTTTTCCTCCCCAGAACTCCTGTTTCCTTCCCCATAACTCATGTTTTCGTCCCCAGAACTCGTTTCCTTCCCCATAACCCATGTTTTCCTCTCCAAAACTCTTGTTTCCTCCCCAGAACTCATTTCCTTCCCCACAACTCACGTTTTCCTCCCCAGAACTCGTTTCCTTCCCCATAACCCATGTTTTCCTCTCCAAAACTCTTGTTTCCTCCCCAGAACTCATTTCCTTCCCCACAACTCACGTTTTCCTCCCCAGAACTCGTTTCCTTCCCCATAACCCATGTTTTCCTCTCCAAAACTCTTGTTTCCTCCCCAGAACTCATTTCCTTCCCCACAACTCACGTTTTCCTCCCCAGAACTCGTTTCCTTCCCCATAACCCATGTTTTCCTCTCCAAAACTCTTGTTTCCTCCCCAGAACTCATTTCCTTCCCCACAACTCACGTTTTCCTCCCCAGAACTCGTTTCCTTCCCCATAACCCATGTTTTCCTCCCCATAACTCACGTTTTCCTCCCCAGAACTCTTTGTTTCCTCCCCATAAATGACTTCAGAGTCCATGGGAACTTACCTTATCCGTGCTATGGGATTAAGGGAGCAGCTCATGTCCACGAGGACAACCTGCCTCAGCTCACAGGATGGGAGCTCCCCTGGTTGGAGACCTCCCTGCTACCTGCTCTTTGCCACATGGACATGCAGAAGAGAAGGGGAACCAGAGGCTCAGCCTGTGTTCTGGTGGGTTTCATGCCCACTTCCCTGTGGTTCCAGCTGCCCCCCAGCTCTGCCTCCCACCATCCAACTGTTGCCTCTCAAGACCTGAGATGATTTAACCCTGAGGACACCCCAACATCTCGCAGCCCCTCCAGGGAAGGTCACTTCTTCTCTCTCCTAGAAGGTATAAAACAAGTTCCTGGAGTACCTACTGGCAACAGACTGGTCATACTCATAGGGTCCAGTAATGAAGTGGGGCAGAGCCATGAGGAACCCGGCCAGGGACACCAGGATGGCCCCGCAGCCGATGAGCCGCGGCCTGTGCACTCTGCTCCCGAAGTAGCTGACGAAGACGATGAGCAACGTGTTCCCCACCTGCAGCAGGACACACCACACCAGGAGCTGTCACAGGGGAAGGAGAGGAGCAGGGGGAGAGCCTTGGCTGAGAAGAACCAGGCTGGTTTTCACCTCGTTGAAGGAGGCCAGCAGCCCTGAGGTCTGGCTGGACAGGCCGTAGCGTCTCTCGATGGTGGAGATGGAGCTTTTCAGGTAGCCAGAGACCAGGAGCTGGGAGAGCTGCAGGAGCCCGTGGCACAGCACGAAGAACTGCCAACACAAAAGGAGAGCACCCAGCACGGTCACTGAGAGCTGCAGCACCACGGGTGGCAGCTACACACCTTCATCAGCTCTGCTGAGACCCCCCTGCAGGGCTGGGAACAGCTCTGGGGTCCCCAGCACAGGAAGGACACGGAGCTGTTGGAGAGAGGCCAGAGGAGGCCCCGGAGATGCTGGGAGGGCTGGAGCAGCTCTGGAGCCAGGCTGGGAGAGTTGGGGTGTTCAGCCTGGAGAAGAGAAGGCTCCAGGGAGAGCTGAGAGCAGCTTCCAGTGCCTGAAGGGGCTCCAGGAAAGCTGGGGAGGGGCTTGGGACAAGGGCAGGGAGGGATGGGAGCAGGGGGAAGGGTTTCCAGCTGGCAGAGGGAGCTGGAGCTGAGATGGGAGGGAGAAATTCTGGGCTGGGAGGTGGGGGAGAGCCTGGCCCAGGTTGCCCAGGGAAGCTGTGGCTGGCCCCTCCCTGGCAGTGTTGAAGGGCAGGTTGGATGGGGCTTGGAGCAGCCTGGGCTGCTGGGAGGTGTCCCTGCCCATGCAGGGGTGGGACTGGATGATCTTGAAGGTGCCTTTTAACTCCCACCATTCCATGACTCTGTGATTCTACAATCCCCTGTACAAAAGCACAATTATTCACCAGGAGCCTTTGATCTGTTACCCCCACTCCTACCACCTGTGGCCTTTTAAAACGAGCTCAGAACCAGGACACACTCCTCTGCCAAAAAAAAAAAAGGGGGCAACAGGGCTGGTGTTTGTCAGGAGGGCTCAGTTCCTCCAGCTGGAAGTGGCTTTGGGCAGAGAAAGTCGTTTCACTTCAGAGCTTGTGAGTTTGTGTTGGCCTTGACCCCAGAATCCAGCAGCTCAAGTGGGAAGTTGCACAACCTTCCCACTCCTGCCCAGGCCAAGGAAGGCAACCATCCCAGTGCTGGCTTGAAGCTCCTCTGGGACAGGAACAAGCCCTTCCCATCACAGCCACAAGCAGTTTCTTCAGAGAAAGTCAGAAGAAGGTCAGGGAGAGGAATTCAGGCTCCTTGCCTCCTGGATGGAGAGGACATCATCTCCTTTTGGAACACGTGCTGATGTGTCTCCACTTCCAGAAGGAAACCATCAGCTCACAGAAAACCCCCTGAACCAGACTTCCTCCAGAGTTTGGCACCCAAGAAACAAAGGAACTGCCCCAGGAGGGATGGGGAACACCTTCCCCTTCACCTACAGCTCTGCAAAGTACCTGGGGAAGGAGAAGAGCTGGAGAGCCATCTCCTTCCCTGCTGCCACCTGGCTGGCATCCTTCCAGTCCCCAAAGGAGTTAAAATAGCCAATCCTCAGGAGATGGAGCTCTCATCTCCCTGCAGGACAGGCTGGATATCCTGGGTTCCCTGCAGACCTGGATGCTGCCCAAAGCCACCAAGATGCTGCTGTTTTGGTAGATGTTTTCCCACTCTCTGGCCAGAGTGGAGCATTTCTTGCTCCCAGCTCCCACCAGGAATGAGTCTTGCCTGGAGGAGCTGCTCAGCCTGGCCTGGATTTCTGCTCTCTCATTCTGACCCAGGGCTGAAGAAGTTGGGTCACTGCCCAGCTGGGCTCTTTGGCAAACAGAGGGACTATTTCCAGCTCAGCAAAGGGAAAGGGAGGATGTTCTCAGCTCCCTGAGGACTGGAGCACCAGGCTATGGGTCCCACCACCACCAGTGACACGTTGGCATCATGCAAAGCAGGATGCAATCCAGGACCTTCCTTTTTACAGCCTCCTGTCACCCACTGAGGGACACAACAGGACTAGGAAAACATCCCCCAGCCCAAGGAAAAACTTCCCCAGGGTCAGCTCTGCTGAAACTCCTCCATTCCTGCAGGACATGCTGACTGTGTCCAGGCTCTGCTTCCCACCCCCACCAGTTCAGGTGGAAACATTGAGGTCAGATTCCTTTTCTTTTCCAGGCACCCAGAGCAGATCCCAAGCCAGGACCTCCACCCCGTGTTGCTTCACAGCAGCTCAGCACCTGCCCACCCATCCTCTCCAGCCCAGGACACCAAAATGGGTTGGGAAGCTGGGATTGTATCATCACAGAATCATAGATCAGAGAATCACAGAAGGTCTTGGGGTGGAAGGGACCTCCAAAGGTCCTCTAGTCCAACCCCCCTACGAGAAGCAGGGACATCTCACACTAGACCAGGCTGCTCAGAGACCTTGAGGGTCTCCAGGGAATGTCTCCACCTCTCTGGGCAGCCTGTTCCAGTGTCCACCACCCTCAGGGTAAAGAATTTCTTCCTCGTGTCCTAATTCTCCCCTGTCTGGGCAGCCTGAAGCAGGAGGAAAAGAGGTGACCCTGCAAAGGACACCCTGGTGTCACCTCTGGGCAAGGGCCCCAGCTCTGGCTGTAGGGACTGTTTGCTCTGAGCCACCAAATCCCAGCAGGGCTGCTGATCTGCCAGGAGGAGGAGGAAGGAGGAAGGAGGAAGGAGGAAGAGATGGGTGACCCTGTTTGTCTCTGGCTGCAGCCACGGGGCTGCACTTTGTCCTGCAGCAAAACTCCCTTGTTCACATCCCTGTCCCTGATCAAAACATCTGGCCTGGAGAGATGCCTTTCACACCTGGAAGGGGAGACCAGCACTGACACCAGCCTGACCTTCCTAATGGAGAGATTTCCCTGGGGACCAACAGCTCAGCTCTGCTTGAAGGACCTCAGGGCATAAAGGGAAGACATGGAGCTGTTGGAGAGAGGCCAGAGGAGGCCCCAGAGATGCTGGGAGGGCTGGAGCAGCTCTGGAGCCAGGCTGGGAGAGTTGGGGTGTTCAGCCTGGAGAAGAGAAGGCTCCAGGGAGACCTGAGAGCAGCTTCCAGTGCCTGAAGGGGCTCCAGGAAAGCTGGGGAGGGGCTTGGGACAAGGGCAGGGAGGGATGGGA